ATGTGATACAGCAATTTGTATACGGGGTAAAAGCGGGAGTTCATAATCCACTTGAATCAAACCGTGTAATATGATGTATTAAGAACTATGTAATGTTATGAACGACCAATAAAAAAAAATTAAAAAAAAAATATTTCTGGAACAAAATCTAAAAATTACTGAGAAAATTTAAATTCTGATAGAATAATGAGATGCTTATTTTCATTGTGTCCACTTGACAATGATGTCACTGTTGTATACTTGTAGGAGACAGCTCTTAAGATGTAGTGATAGAATATTAAGAGATGGAATGTCATGCTTTCTCAGATGGGCTAGAGTGACAATAGATGAGAAAGGCAATGTACAAAAATGGTAAGGTTTTACTTTTGTAATCTAGTTGAAAAGTAAATGGATGTTCCTTGTACAATTATCTCAACTTTTATAAGTATAGAAAATTAACATGATAAACATGGAGGCATAAATATCACTAACTACCAATGTACCAATTAAGAGTTAAAAAAATTTTAATACTTTCTGTTTTAGAAAAATTAGCTGCTAATTGAATGAAAAGCTAATTAGCAAGTACAAATTTTCTTTGAATAACAAGTTTTTCAATAAAGACTAGTTTTTATACATTTTTCATTTAATAATTTTAATAGGTTAATTAATTGTTTACTAATTAAAATTGAACACTTGGCATGAAGGTACATGGATCTCTAGATAACTCTAAAATAAACAGGTATTTTTTCCTGCTAGGAATTATGTAGTCAGGCATATCCATGAACATGAATGTGTTTTTTATTAAATTAAAAAATAGAGTTTAAGGTACAAAGCCGACTTATGTGAATACACACTCACACATACAAACACCCACACACATATACTAACACCATCATAACAATTATTTGATAGTGATCATTTAAAATATATTTTTTAAAAGTTAACATATGAATAACAGTCTTGATAGAATTATACTTATTTGCATTGTTTCCCATTTTTTTTAGTTTGCATATGTGAATAGAAGATGTTAGATATTTCATAATATAATTGTCCTTAATTGTAACTAAAATGGTAGCATCTAAATGCAATGCAAGACAGTACAGGAGAGTAAAAAAAACCATCACAGAACTGAGAACTTCAATGTCAAATCAGCCTTTAATTATAATAAATGGAAAAGTTGAGAACCTTTAGTATAGTTTTGAGGGAGAGTCAAGATCAATTTATATCAGTGAAATTGCAATATTTAAAGTTCAGAGCAGGTGAACTACCTATGCAGGAAATTATTTTCCTCTTTTTGGAGTATATCACCAAATATTCTGTTGCTGTGAGAATAGCTTTTGAACTAACTGACCAAGTTCCTTATTCCTTGCATTCTCTAAACCCAGTGTGCCCCACAGCCCTGTTCAACTCACTCTTACATTTCCTGGGGACATAAGGAAAAGAAAATCAGAGCTCAGTCAGCTGTGTTTCATTATCACTGTGATAAACCAGAAGTTGAATGCAAGTCCAGACCTCTATTAGTATATTACAGTTAGGAGAAATAGTGGGTGTTGTGCACAAAGGCTGGGATAAATCTTTGTCTACAATGTTTGTAATTACGAAAAGTTGGGTAACAGGAGTGATTTTACTAGATATGGAATCCTAGTTGTTGTTTCCTTTTTAATTACACATGACATTTGAGTACACTTTCATATAATTATACAAGCACAGACTATATCTTATCCTAATTTTGACCCCACTAGCTCTACTTCCCCTTCCCTTTCCCCACACTTTTGCCCTTCCCTTCGTTTATCTTTCTGCCATTTACCCATCGTTATTTTTATTTTTACTTTTTCATTAATTTCTTGTCCTTATACATAATGGTGAGATTCACTGTGATGTATTCACATATGTAAGTAGGAAAGTTATGTCATATTCATTCCACTGTCTTTCCTTTTCTTATCCCCTCTCCCTTCCCTTTATTTCCCTTTGTCTAATCCACTGAACTTTTTTTTTTCTCCCCCTGCCCTTTATTGTGGCTTAGCTTCCACTGTCAGAGAAAACATTTGACTTCTGGATTTGTGGAATAGTCTTATTACATTTAAAATATGGGATACTTCACCAATCTGTCTATCATACTTTCACCAGTTTCCATGCTAAACTTCTTTGTTTTGTTTCAATTTTGGTAAGTGTGCTGCTGACATGAATAACAGAAGACCTTACCTTCAGTGTTAGTATACGTCTGGGAATAGGAATGTTCTTTAAAAATAAATAATAACCATGACAATAACGATATGTAGAATAAAGATTAGCAAAGATAAAGACCATGAATACAATGCTGTTATTATTTATTCAGTTAGGCCATGTTTTACTCTGAAACTATCTAGTGTACATTCTAAAAGCTAGTAATATAGAGTATTATATTTCAAACATGTCATGTCAATAATCCTATACAAAACTGATCTTTATTTTAAATATTCTTTTTTGTGACAAATTATTCAATTTGAAATCACTCTGCATAAGAATATATTGACCAAAGATTAAATATAATTAATAGTGAATTTTCTTAATTTCTCTGCAAATTTTATGCATAGACAAATGTAAAGATTGTTTGCTTTAAAAGTCAATTGTGGGGTTGAAGATGTGGTTGGGTAGTAGAATGCTTGCCTAGCTTCCACAAAGCCCTGGGTTCACTCCCCAGTACTACAAAAACAAAAAGTCTGTTTATGATTTCCTATGCTTATAATTTATAATAAGGTTCATTAGATTTATAATTTCACTGCTAGCTAAGCATAATGCACTTGCAAATGGTGGGTTTTATAAAATAAGAATACATTTAAAAACTTCTATTTTTAATTTTAACATTCTAAATCTAATAATAGAGGCAAAAACGAGTGAATAGAAAATTTTATTTAATCAAATATGACAATGCAAGCAATTCATATTAACTTACAAATTAAAATTTTGTCAGAAAAAGCAACAAGTGAAGATGTACCATATGCTTATGCAATACTTAATGCTAGAGTTGGAAAATTCTCCTAATTGTTACTAGTTTACTTGATGAATTTGATACATGGAAGGATAAACTTATCAAGATCACAAGAGCTGTAGGAAAACTATCACTAAAATAATATTTGCTGCCAAACTTCTAAATGCCCCCAAAGATTAAAATGTGCAAGCAGAGCATACTAAAAGGTTATAGTTTCTAATCATGCTATGTATTTCTGCCTGAGGTTATAAGTAAAGACATGAAGGGAAAGATTGAATTAAAAATGGTTCTGGTATTTTATTCAAATTTCTCAAAATCTCAGGTCCTATTTTATGCTACATTGTTATATACTAATTTTTGGTAAGTAGAAATGCATATATTAAAAGTTTCAAGAGAGTCAAATGTAAGTTATGTAAGTATAACAGCTGCCTGAGCATAAAGCATAATTGACCATATGAATTAATTATGAAAATATGCCTAATACATGTGTAATTTTCATAATGCTTTTCACAATCTGCTTGCCAAAAAATTCATAATATTTATTAAACCACTTTATATTATAGGAAAAGTGAAAAATAGTTTGGCAAGATTGGATATATAATTTAATAATCATTATAAAAAGCTGATATTACTTTATCTTATTGTTGAAAGTGACAATTCAATGATAACACCAGATTGTGGTTTGAGATTTCTGGGTCTTTGACCAGTTGTTAAGCTAACAACTTAATATATTTTTGAGACTCATTTTGCTGTAAAAATCTGATTATTAAAATATTTTTGAGACTGTTCTCAAATCTGAATGGCATTATCTTGAGCTTCCTGACCAGAATACTGAAGGAAGGACCAGAAGCTGAAAACTGATGGAACTCTCAGCCCACTCCATAGGAAGCTTAACCAGGTCCTTTCCTAACCACAAAAGAAGGAAAATGATATTGTTTGAAACCATATTTTTTGAGGTAGCATTTTCTATAGTAATAGATAATTGTAAGCACTGCTTCACTCTTATGACATGAATTAAATTTTCTACTAAGGGTTTTGTTCAAGTACATATCAACAGAAGAAATATCAAATTTTGTAATTATGCAGATTTTCAGAATTGAGGACAAAGAAAACCCAAGCATTTCCACAAAGTAAAACAACTTTAAATTCAATACTAATCCATATAAATACATATGCCTACTTATTGAATTCTTTTGTGGTCAAGAGGGCAAAGTCTTTATTCTGAGGCCAAACATGCTTCAAATTTTATCCCCCAAATTCTTTAAAAGTCCAGCTGTCTAAACTATAAAGCACCTGCTCGAAAAAGTCTTATTTGTAAAGTATGTGGTAGAAGTTTAGCTAACCTATGCTGCTCCTAGATAACCAACAGACAAGATAAGTAGACAAGATGCCATTTCTCTTTACTCAGAGACAAGAATGAATATTGCAGACGTCAAAGTAAATCATGTGATGTATCACATATTAGAACCAACAGTCGTTGTTCTATGCTAAATATTTGATTGATTCACTTCAGAAATGTGATAATCAATGAATTGAAGATGTCTCTCCTTATACTGATGTTAAAAGCCTTTTTGTATATAAGTGTGACCAGTGTGGAAGGATAGTTTTGCTTTTTCAATAAAAGATTTTCTATATACAGAGGCATATAATTTTTGGTTCACTTAAAATGCAAATTGAATCATCTTTCGCATGAGTGGGTATCTCAGTCACAATTTCTAGCAATGTGTCCTTAGAAAAAGTGTTTTTATCCTTTGTAAAATACTTAAATCACTCTGCATGTGTGGGTATGAGTGTGTGTGTGTGTGTGTGTGTGTGTGTGTGAGAGAGAGAGAGAGAGAGAGAAAATTGAGTGAGTTAATATATCAAGCTTAGAAAAGTACTTGACACAGTATTCAGCATAGGTTAGCTATCTTTATCATAGTTGTTATATTGGATTTTTTGGTATTAAAATATAGCTATTATTTAAATGCCTATGGTGATACCTCAACTATTTATGGGTTGATGTTAATATATCCACTGGATATCTATCTAAAGATTTATCTATCTATATATAATATAAACATTTATATTTATATGTACACTTTGTCTCTTTTGAAATTATTTTCTTAATACGAATTTTTGTCCTTTGAATTTTTGTGTCAAATGTCTTGTGAAAATGTAAGGATTTTGATACCTGTGGAATATATGGCCTTCAGAATACATGTATTATTTAAATTTCTTAAAATTTATAAGATCTTTTGTTTTTCAAAACAATTTCTACTACTAGATATTATCTGGTTTGCTGTTCTTTTAACAGAAATAATTAAAAATAACAACATAATTTTGCATTTAGAAATACATATTTTTACTTTGTTGTGATGAATGTTTATTGGAAATTTAAATTTATAAATTTCTGCATTAACAAATCATACATGGTTTTCCTCCATGTATTTATTTAAATGATAATACATTACCATCTGTTTTTCTAAGCCAATTTTTATAAATTCTAATAGACAAAATGTTGTACATGAATGTAGACACTGTCATTCATTTGGAGAAAAGCATATATGCATCATGCCATCACATGATCTATGACAAATCTATCTCCAGTATTTATTCCTTCACTATGTATTGTTCAAAGGATTTGCCAATTTCATAAAAAAACTGTTCAATCTGTGGCCACAGGAATGTTAGATAATTATTACTCTCAATGGCCACGGGATTAGAAAGGATAACTCTTTTTCATTTATGATATTGGAAACTTGTGTCATCTCATTTTTTTCCTTGTGTAGTTTGGCTAAAAGTTCATCAATTTTCTAGTGTGTTTCAATGAACCTGTTATGACTTCTCCGGCTTTTCTCCAGTTTGTTTTGATTTCAATTTCATTGATTTCTGCTCTAACTTTTATTACTTCTCCTCCTCTTTGATATTCTGAAAATACTCTTTTATCTATATCATTTCTCAAAATTGTTGTCTTTCTCATGAAGACTTTAAAAAATGTATTTATTTATATGCAGTTCTGAGAACTGAACCCAGCACATCACACATGCAAGGCAAATGCTCTACCACTAAGCCACACAACACCAGCCCCTGTCTGTATCATTTGAAGGTCAGAGATTAGATTTTAGATTTTATATCCTTCTAATTTTCTATAGGAAAACCAACAATACATTGTAAAATTGTTACCTTATATCAATGTTGATCTAATGAAGTTGAGAAAAGAAAAACAAGTACACTTTAGCAGTGAATCTTCATCTGTTCCTGTGGATTCAAGTGACTCCTTTGTCATGTTCTTACCCTAGTGTAGATGGACTCCCTTTTTTGTCTCCCTTGTACTGTTATTTTCTTGGTTTTAGATTTCTCCTAACTTTGTTCAAGATAAAGTCACTTCCACTGGGAAGAGTTTTGGACTTATCTGTTCCCATTGTGAAGGGAAAATTAGATGAGGATGGTGGGGATACAATGTTTAGAGAATAATTCTATATAAAAAGGCCCATTATACTGACCTCCACATGTTTTCTTTGCCAAAAAGCAATTGCCTGATCCCCCACCTGGCCTGATGGGACAGAAAATATCACATTCCCCAAAAAGTGAGACAAAGGGCAGAAGGCTTGGCAGTAAGTGTAGGTAATGAATGATGTAATAAATGAGAATAGGAGGGCTGGTTATCAAAGAAAAGACAACAGATTGCTGATGTCTAACTTCCTCTATGATGACACTTTTCAGCACAAGGAGATACTAGTGATCAGCCCTGTGCTGCTCTTTCCCCTTAGTCAAGAACAGGAAAAAGAAAGAGAAGGTGGACTATTCTGGGGTCTACAAAAGAGCAAGATGCATTGACTTCCACAGGCACCCAGCTCTGGGCCCCGCTTCTTACCACAGAAGTCTTTCTCTSTCTCTTTCTTAAATAAAACTTGATTTCCCCCCTTGTCTTGTTGCTTCTCGGCAACACCAGAGGAACAAGGACCAGATACTGATCTCCAAGACTGTTTTCACCATAGTAATCTGCATTCCTCTTAGGAGTCAACTGGACACTGGGAAGGGACAATGGCCTCTGAACTTCTTGGTTGTTCTCAGCTACATGATGCCTCTACTCCATAAGTAAAATGAGACAAGAACTATGGAGGCCTGGCTATGCTCAGCCTTCTGCACCATGGAAGACACAGGTAGAGGCCAAGGGGTGGAGGACACAGGCAGTCTCTCTAAAGAATTTAGCTTTGCAGCTGAGCACAGCATGCACTCC